GGGGGGGGGGGGGGGCGCGGCACCGAGGGTTGCGATCCCGTTGCCGGTCACGAAAAAAGACAAAAAAAGGAAAAAAAAAAAAAAAAAAGATTATATACTTCACCCATATTTGTTGAGAAGTTTCTCCTGGGAAAATTCGACTAATGAATTACTAAAGACTTCGTAGAAATCTTGTTTGGGGAATGAGACCTGCAATCAAGGTAATTAAACCTTTAAAGGGATTTTTGTAAGTTTAGAACAAGAAAATCGCACTCAGGAGCAAGATCTGGGGAATGAATGAAGAGGAGAGCGTTCTACACAGTAGCATCAGGACGGGCGCTGAGACAAGAGCAGCAGGAACCGAACACGGAGGGGCCGAGGCGGGGGCGTCCGAGCCCGTGTGCCTGGGTGCGGATACCAGCACGTGCTCCTCTGTGCCTCGCTTTACTGACTTGTAAACTGGAAACAGGAACTTTGTGCCTGTCTCCCACAGCTGCTGTGAGGCATGTTGTAGTGAGGATCAGTGTGTGGAAAGCACTTGGACTGTGCTTGGGGCTCTGCAGGGCTCTGGAGGCTGTTACAGTGATATTGGCCAGGGTCTGATGGCAGGGCGGTTAGGACTCCTTGGCACCCTGCCCCTGACTTGCTCTGCATTTATGTGGGACATCAGCAGCACACCCGCTGCATATGTCAGCAGGTGTTGCCAGTTCTCGAAGGAGATGACTGTCACCTACATCAAGTGTGTCCAGTCAGGCATAGAAGTCGTTTTGATCATTACGTTCGTGGGCATGGAGGTTTGCAGAATGGCGAGGCGAGGTCAGATGTTTGCGGTTGGCTGTCACGAAGGGAGGAAGCGTGAGGCGCTCTCGGTAGGAGAGCCTGATTCTGGTGCGGTGCTGAGGGTGAGCTGAGCGGAGCGTCGCAGGCTGAGAAGGCGGGTCCTGTGACCTGTCTCACGCACATCTTTTGCTTTCACTAAACAAGTGCCGACACATCCCCTGGGTTGGCAGTAACTCAGTGTCTTCACATGTTGTATCTTCTTATTCTGCAAAAGAATAAGACTCTGTGAAGCCACAGCTAAAATTAACTTTAACTGTAAGGGCGAGGATCAGATTCGAGGGTTTTCCTTTTTCCCCTGGGCCGGGTCTGCCTACCACGGAGAGAAAGGGCAGGAGGCTGGTGAAGATGAGAAAACCAAGTGTCCCGGGGTCAGGTGCCCTGGGTGCCGAGCAGCTAGCTGAAGTGAGTGAGACAGGGAGAGAGGGCTTAAAATACAGCAGCAAACAGGGCCCGTGGCAAACTTGACGGTGCACTCCCACCTAAAGCCCTGTGATTCATATGTTTAAAACTCCCCGACTCAGCCCTACCAGACACCTGATCATTGTGCTGGCTGCTGTCGGGACCTTTCATGAGTGACCTTGCAGTTTGTTAGGCCGGGGACCTCCTATACGTGCCCTTTTCCAGTGTAGGGGTGAGCACCACATTTAGGGGGTTGGGGTAGGTCCTTTAACTTGTCAGGGCCCAGGACTACTGTCCCCAGCCCCACTCCTAACCTAACCTCCCGGCTTCTCTAAGAGAATGGCATCTCTTACAGAGGGGTTGCATACTGAGCCATTGCCGACAGAATTTTAGTCACATCCTGAGATTCCTCTTTCCTAAGATTTCGTGTGTTATTCCTCATATTTGGAGGGAGTTTTCACACTTCCCTGCGCATACCCTCCTCACCTACACTGCAGCTTGAGCACATCTGAGACCTGACACCGTGGTTGACCAAGCCCTGCACAGCCCGCATCCCGCCTCCCTCCCAGGCTCATTTGCACGGCTCTCACTCACACCCAGCTCCTGCACATGGGCCTCCTTGAAGAGGTGTGAACGCCCTGTGCTCTTTTAAGGCTTTTGCACCTGTGCTTCCTCTGCGGGTTAGGCTGGCTCCTCCCTGTCCTTCAGGTCTCACCTTCTCAAAGAGGCCCTTCCATGGGAGTAGTCCCTGGCCCCCGGGCACTCTCTAGTCCTGCCTGTTTCCTCTGGAGTGCTTCTCACCATCTGTAGCTCTCTTGTTTGTTTATTAGCATGCTTCTTGAGTGTCTGCCCCCCCACCATGTTTGTCTCGTTCTCCACTGCATCCTCAGCTGACAGTGTCTGAGCTTAAAAGGAGCTCAGTAAATAACTTATTGACCTCATGGCAGTGAACTTTGTAATTGTGTAGCATGTTCCTTGCTAGAAACATTGCCCACTTTGCCTATTAAGTACTCCATCCTTAATGATTTTCTGTTGACGGTTGAATTATTCATATAACAGTTATTGATTTGGGCATGTCCCAGGTGCTGGGGATATGAGATGTAGTTCCTGAATGTCAGGAGCTTTTGTACTAGTAACTTTCACTTCACACAAATAGCACTTGTGCAGTATTCCAAAACCTCCAAGTCTTTCATTCTCCCCTACCCTGTGCCTGAGACCCCTCTTGTGATCCTGCACATTGAAGGTGGTTTGGGGGTTCAGTACAAAGTGGACACGCAGAAAGAACAGGAAGCCGGAGGAGCTGTCCAGGCCCCGCAGTAGGTCTGTGAGAGGATGCTCTGAGCTGACCTCCTGCTCAGGCTGGATCCTCAGTGCTGCCGTTCCTAGCAAGTCGTATTTTACCTGCTGTGCGATCAGATGGGGAAGTGGTGAAGGAACCATCCCCAGTGCCCTTCATTGCAGGCACTCAGTCATTGTTGAGTGAACGATGACCATCTTCCCTGCCAGCTGTTGTTCCAGACTGCTGGCACCGTCTCTTACTCATCATGCTGGTCCCAGGGTGCCCAGCACCAGCACCAGCACCCGGGAAAGCCTGATTGAGTGGAATTCGAGAAGAACCAGCCAGATCGAGGTCTCCAGGTGGCACAGCAGTTACCTCGTCACCTCCTCTTTGATGCTCGAGCGTCCCTTGGCTTCCGGGGCACCTTGCTCCCCAGATTTCCCTTCTCTCTCCCTGGCTGCAGCTTTCCTGGTTTCCTTTTTCTCTTTGGATCTCCTCTTCTCTATATACATTTTGATGGCTGCAAATACTGTCTGGACTGTTACAAATCTCACATCTTCATCTTCTGCCTGCTCCCTTGAACTCAAGACTACGTCTGCTTGCCTGAGAAGCATCTTCTCTAGGATAACAAACTTCTTCCCCTTAAACCTGCTCTTCACATGGCTGTATCCATCTCGTGCTTCCAGCTGCTCGTGCTGTAGACCCTGGAGCCGCTCCTGAGTTTTCTCTTTCCCTCGCTGCCCACTTGCATCACTGAATTGGGCCGAGTCTAGCTTCCGCATACACCCAGGGCCCCATCTCCTCTGCCCCTCTTCTGGCTCAGGCCACCAGCAGCGCCTGAGTTATAGCAGCAGCCACCCCACTAGTCTCCCTGCGTTAGTCTGTGCATGAGGCTGTTGAAACGTGTCACATCCTGTCACTTTTCCCCTCAGAGTCCTCCAGTGGCTTCCATCTCCTCCAAGAAAGAGCCAGAGTCCTCGCAGTGGCTCGTGTGCCCTTGGCGGTCTGGCCTGCCTCCCTCTGCAACCTCCCATGCAACGCCCCTCTCTCTGGTGCGTGGCGCCCATGTCCAGCCCGGGGCTGGCCCCTCGCTGCTGCTTCTGCCTGGGCTGCTTTCCCTGCCCTGCACCCTCCCTCGCCTTCCTCATATCTCTCCTCAAGAGCCCCTCAGCAAGGTCTTCCGTGACTCCCTGCATGCATCGCAGCCCTCCCCGGTCCCCCAGCCTCTTCTCGGCTCCACTTTTCTCCACAGAGCTTAACCCCCTGAGCCTCCGTGCGTCTCTGTTTTACTTACTTCTCTCATCTGCTTCCCGTTACCGTAACGTCGACCCACGAGGCCAGGGTCGCTTCTGTCTGTTCTGTTCACTGTTGTATCTTGAGCACACAGAACAATGCCCGACACGTAGTGGGTGTTCAGTAGATATTTGCTGAAGGAATTACATGAATGAAAGATGGGTCTCACGTGCGGACAGGGGGACCTGGCACTAGAAGCGTGTGGTCCTTCCTCTGGTCTGGGGCTCCCCACCCCTCTTGGCTTCTGCCTCACCAGACCACAGGGCTGGGGCAGCTGGTGAGACTCTGTGGGCCCTGGGACATACCTCTAATTTGTTTTGACTGATGAAAGTAAGACACGTTCACTGAAAAGCATTTTTTTTTTCATTTTTTTAAGTGACATTTTCAATGAAAATATGAAGGAAAATTGTAATTCCGAGTCAGAGGTAATCATTGATAATACTTCGGTGCACTCCTATTCGGTCTTCTGTACACGTGCTGTACAAGCGCAGGTGTTTTGTAGATGCATGTGCACATTTCTTCACGAGAGGCACACGCGTGTGCATGTGTTTGTTTCCCTACCGGGTGGTGGAAACACCTGAAGGACAAGGACTGTGCCTGTTCTTCTTGTCTTCAGTGCCTGTCATGGGACCTGGCATGTATCAGGGGCACAAAACTGTAGATTAGGTGAACGACTGGACAAGTGTGTGGCCTGTTTTCTGGTGAGTAGTTGTGGTCTATGCAGAGCCATCCCTGCGGTGTCCTTGCCTGTTTGGTTCACGAGCTGCAGGGCCAGGGCAACGTCTTCACCACTTTTGCTTCTGGGAGGCTGTTGTAGAGCCGGTTTCTCAGCTTTGGCACTGTGGATGTTTTGGACCCAAAAATTGTTGAGGAGGGGTGCCCTGTGCATTGTACGATGTTTAGTGACATCCCTGGCCTCTACCCTCTAGATGCTAGCAGCACCCCACTCCCAGTGATGACAACCAAAGATGTCTCCAGACATTGCCAAATGTCCCCTGTGGGCAAAATCACCCCCAGGTTAAGGACCACTTTTCTAAAATGTCTCTATTTTCTCCCAACAATCTTTCCTTGTTTTTTGTTTCCCCTGAATACTTTGGAATTATTATCCATTTTGCATCCTATTTCCATGCTACTGCCTGAGTGTGGGAATTATGGCTGCAGCTTTCTCACCAGCTGTTTGTCCCTGGTCCACCCCACATGGACGCCTCTCACCCTGTACTCGCAGATGAGCCCTGTTGCTGCCATTCTGATCCATGAACAGCCATCCTACGGATTCAGTGGGTCCCCAAATTGAGTGAGGTATCCTGTGGCAGAAGAGGTTTTGTTACTTACTGTGTGGTTGTTTAAATAGAGTATCAGCCTTCCAGACTTCAGTTTAGTCTAGCAGAGATTTTCAAGCATTTATAAGTCTTTGCCCTCCGTGATTTCTGTCCTCTGTCCACAAGAAAGCACATGGCTTTTAGGGTCAGATTGACTTGGGCTTGAACACTGACAGCCATTCACAACCCGACGGACCTTACCCTGGCTGTTTAGCTTTTCCGAGCTCCAGTTTCTTCATCCTGGAGATGGGGATAATAATACCCAGCTTCTAAGGTTATTTTGAGAATTAAATGTAATAATTTACGCAGATTAGGGCAATGCCCAACACACGCTACGTACTCAGTCAGTGTCAGCTCCTTTCTCTGACTCTTTATTGAAAGAAAGGGAGAGTGTCAATAAATTGTCACCTAGATGCCCAAATGCCTACTCAGAGTTTGGTTGAGAAGAATTGAGTGTTTTATAATTTGGTTCATTTTGACAATTGAGGAGACAAGACCTAAAAATTCATTCATATGTTACAATAATTCCTTGAACTCTCAAAAGGAGAGAACAGAACTGAGGACACCAGAAGGAAAGGGAGAAGGAGACGGGGGTTAGGGAGAAATGGGTAAAGGGCCACAAAAGATGTTTACATTGTGTAATGACTCAACAAAGAGAGAAAAATATATATGTGTGTATATATCTCACATATACGACAGCTGCTTTTACCAGGGAGCTGTTGATAGCTCAGCAGTTCCAGGCTCTTGGAATTTTCCTGGAAAGACCCTCCGCTCTGAGATGCGGGTTCTCGGATGGGGGAGATGGTGCCCACTGACTCGTCTTTGTTCCTCTCCCCACCGACAGTCCCAGCACCCAGCATTGCTGCTGCTCAGGGATATTAACAAATTGATCTGCTGGTGACTGCTGAAAAGGTTATAATCCCCGATTTGAGAAAGATGGTCTTGAATTACCATATCTTATCAATACTAAGACATACCTGAGTTATGTCTACATATGCGTTTCAACATATCTGAGATCAGGATGCAACTTATTTTTTTAAACATAAAATATTGATTACTTTTACAACATTTCTTTCATGTTGTAAGTGTTTTAGAGCATTGTACATGAATTAATTTCCATCAGGTTTTCTGTACTTATGACATTTGTAGGATTTCACTGCAGGGTGAATTTCAACATGACTTTTAAGGTAGTTGGTAAAATTTGAAACCTTCCTGTAGTTTTAAAACGAATGGGTTTTCAATCCACTATGCATTTGTATATCTTTTTGTCAGCTTATGGGCCAACTGAAGGCTTTTCCACATTCCTTACATTTAGCGTTTTTATCCAGTATGAGTTTCTTTGTGCTTTTGAAAGGAACTGGAAGAACTAAAAACTTCACTTTATCATTTAGTCATAGGGTTTCTCTCCAGTGTGAGTTCTTTCATGAATTCTGAAAGAATGGAGGTCACTGAGGGCTTCCCACTTTTCTTATGTTCATACGGCTTCTCTCCGTAGTCCGGATTCTCACATGATTTAGGTCCAGTGTGAGAGGGGATGTGCCTGTTAAGGGATGGATGACACATGTAGACTTTTTCATGCAAACTACATTCACATGGTTTTGCTCTATAGGACTTCTTTCATTCAGATTTCTTGATTTGGTATCTGGCTGAAGGTTTCTCCACAATGATGACTTTCCTTACTTTCACAGATTTTGTCTACAGTATGATTGTTTAGGTTTCTCCTGCGATTTTTGTACTGATCTTCAATGTTCTGGTCTTCCCATTTTCTTCCTTTAGGAGCCAAGTTTGTAAAGATCTCCCCCATGACATCTCTGTAGAGTTTTTTCTGGGAATGATCCAGCATAGCCCACTCCTCCAGGGTAAAGTTGACAGCCACATCTTCAAAGGCCATTTCTTGGTTTCCAGGGTGTCCCCAGTCCTCCCTGTGGCTCCCACATTCACTGCACATCATGGAGGACAGAGGCATGGCAGAGCCACCTGAGATTTTATAGGCAGGTGAGACATGCTGACATGTGCTGGGATTAGAGAGCAATGTCCCTGGATGCATCTTAAAACTAATATTGTATCATAGTTTAATTAGGAGTACTTTTCTTTCTTAGTGGTACAAAATACTAGTGTATGTTAGAATCAGTAGCATCTTAGATTTGGTGAAGTAAGGTAATGCCATCGATCACAGCTTACTAAGATAACCTGTCATTTCCTGGTGTCTACCTTGGTGTTCCCTTGGAAGTGTGCGTCTGCTTTTGCCAATGGAATATTTAGAGTGTCACCTTCATGTTGAACATCTATTGACTAAGAATTAAAATTGAGATAGGAAATTCTAGGCAAAGACCACTTGTCCCACAGACCCTGGACCCTGAAGCTTGAGGATACTGGCTTCCTGGTGGCCATTGGGAATCAGAAGTCTACGACTTCTCCTCCTGTATTAACAGGGGTCTTGGACAAATGAATTAACAAGTCTCCCTTTCCTCATTCATAAATGGATTCACAAGGTAGCCCCCCAGCCTGTCTCAGAGAGTCGTCGTTAGGACCAAGTGAGATGGTGTGTATGAAGGTGGCTGGCCCACCTGCAGGCTGATCCAGCGGAAGGTGCTGTTCCTACCTGCAGGACGTGCAGAACGGAAATGTGACCCAGAGAAGTCCACTGACAAATCACAGCCCCAAGTGTCTCAGTGGTGATTCATACCCAGTACTTGTCTTATTTGTCTGTTTCTAGGAGAGAATCTTTGGAAACTTTGTAGAATCTTGTCTGGTGAGGTGAAATATATCCCAAAGGATCAAAAAGAAGTTACATCCTATAACTAGAGTGCAAGTTGTTTTATCTTATTTCACTTTATACTTTTCTCTTTCACTGCCTTGGTACTGGAAAATATGTTGGGTAAAATATAGTTAGACTTAACACAAGTGTCTTTGTCATGAGAGAGTGAGTTTAATCTCTTACACACAGTGCCGAAGAGATCACATTCAGCAGTGCAACAGGTGCTGGTTCAGTCCTGGCTCCAAAAGCTCATTGGCAGTGTGACCACTACACAGAGGTGACCTTAAGCCAGTTACCCAAACTCTCCTGACCTCATTTTCCTCATCCGTTAAAATTCTTAAAGGGCTATGGATTAAATGAAATGAATGGAAAGCACTTAAATTATAAGTGAATGCAGGGCCTTGCACATAGAAAGTACTCAGTAGATGTTCGCTTTAATTATGCTTCTAAACAACCACAGGAAAATGCTATTGTGCACTTGCCAGGGACTCTTTTTGCTGACACGGTCAAGAGCTTAGTTATTTTTGTGAAGAAGGGATAAAGTGGTGTTATTTTCGTACTTAACCATGGCATTAGTGACCTACACAAACATGTCAATTCGATAAACCTCAATAACGTTGTATTTTTGATACATACAGCCTGTTATGCTGTAACCAGATGAAGAATCCTGGTCACAGCCTTACCAGAAAGCTTTTATTTTTTTTTTCCTTTTTGTCTTTTTTTTTTTCCTTTTTGTCTTTTTTACTGACCGGTAACGGGATTGCAACCCTCAGTGTCGCGCCCGCACTGCGCTCAGCCAGTGAGCAGGAACCGGTCTCCACATGGGATCCGAACCCTCGGCGGGAGCGTCGCTGTGCTCCCAAGCAGCGCACTCTCCAGTGCGCCACCGGGCTGGCCCCAGAAAGCTTTTTTTTTTTTTTTGTCTTTTTGTCTTTTTTCGTGTCCGGCAACGGATCGCAACCCTCAGTGTCGCCTCCGTACCGGACCGGGGACCGGCAACGGGATCGCAACCCTCGGTGTTGCTCCCGCACCTCGCTCAGCCAGTGAGCGGGAACCGGTCTGTATGTGGGATCCGAACCCTCGGGCGGGAGTGCCGCCGCACTTCCCAAGCGGCGCACTATCCAGTGCGCCACCGGGCCGGCCTCCCCAGAAAGCTTTTAAATATTTCCTTTCCAGTGAGGTTCTTGAAGTGTCCTGTTAAACACTCCATGTGCCGAGGAAGAGTCCTAAGTGCCCCCCACTTCATGCTTCAAAGCCTAGGAGGCCTGCCCTCAAGTACCGTGTTGTGGGGGGATCGTGTTCTACTGATGTCTCTGGTTCAGTGTGGAACACAGGGGGCTTCTGAGAAAATGTCATGAGCTTACTTCCACGACTGGGGGTTAGGGAAGGTCTTACAGCGTGAAACTCACGAGCTTCATGCACTCTGCCCTCTCTGAATTTCTTTCTTCGTCCCCTGCCCCTATGTCACCATAGCTGAACGGTGCGGATGCTGCCTAGTTTTTCTTTTTAAGCAACTTCATGAAAGTATAACTTACACACAATAAAATTCACACATTGTAACTGTACAGGTCAGTAAATCTGGACAAATATGTACACCCATGCAGCCACCACCCCAATCAGGATATTTCTACTTCCCCAGAAAGTTCCCTCGTTCCCCTGAGCTAACACCACCTCCCAACTCAGGCCACCGCTGATCTGATGTACGTCATTCTCGATTAGTTTTACCTGTTCTCGAATTTCACATAAATAGAATTATGCCAGAATTATGGTTTTTTTTCTTTCAGTTTTTTTTTTTTTTTTTTTTTTTTTTTTTTTTTCACATCTGTGAAACTTACCCATGTTGTTGCAATTATTAGTACTTCATTCCTTGTTATTGCTGCAACTTGTTCATTCACTTTTGATGGACATGTAGGTTTTTCTAGATTTTGGTTTAGATATTTAGTCTATTCTAGATGTTTAGTCTATTTACATTTAATACCATCTTTTAACTTGTTATTTTGAAATAATTCTAGACTTGTGGAAATGTTGCAAAAATAGTACAGAGAATTCTTTTATACCCTTCACTTAGTTTCCCCTAACGTTAACACTGTTCATAAACATAGTGCAGTGATCAGCAATGGGAAATTAACATTGTTACTGTATTGTTAACGTACAGGTTTTCTCCAATTTCACCAATTTTTCTCTAATGTCTTTTTCTGACCCCAAATCCAATTCAGTATCTCACGTTAAATTTAGTTGTCATGTTTTCTTAATCGCCTCCAATGTGTGACACTTCCTCAGTGTTACTTTTGTCTTTCATTACCTTGACACTTTTGAAGAGTATATTTGTAGGATGTTCCTCATTCAGTTTGAGCTCATCTGATGTTTCCTCATGACTTCTCAGGATTAGACTGTGTTAAGTCGGTGAGACAGATAAAGGACTCTGAGCCAAACATTTTTATGAAGGGAGTTTACTCCAGCGAACCTGGAGGGGAAACTGAAAGATCAGTGTTCCACCCCATACGGACTAGCAGAGGCTTTATGGGGTTTGAATTTGGGAAGGAGGGGGTTGGGGGAAGAGCCTAAGTTCTTAGAAGGGGTTGGGCAGCTATTCTAAGCACTAACAGCTTTGTGGTTTTTCTGTTTTTTACAAGACCCTGTTTTGTACCAGACGTTCTTATTGAAATGCAGTGGCCTTGAGGGAAAGGGAGGGGGTCGGGGGACACGATGAGGGAGTAGTCAACATGGCTGTGCTTATGTTAAGCTGACTGTGAGGCCTGATAGACTGTGGTCATGCATTTCTGGCAAGAATACCACAGAAGTGATATTGTATCCTTCTCAATATATGTCATATCAGGGGCTGCATGATATTGATATGCCTTATTACCAGTGATGTTAACTTTTGATTATTTAATGTAATTTTTGTTATGGTTTGGTTTAAATCTACCATGTTGCTATTCGTTTTCCATTCATTTCCCCCCCCCACCCCCCTTTCTTTAGTAGTGCTTGCTCTGGGACTAACTATACATATTTTTTTTTTTCCTTTTTATCTTTTTTTCGTGTCTGGCAACGGATCGCAACCCTCAGTGTTGCCCCCGTACCGGACCGGGACCGGCAACGGGATCGCAACCCTCGGTGTTGCTCCCATACCTCACTCAGCCAGTGAGCGGGAACCGGTCTGTATGTGGGATCCGAACCCTCGGTGGGAGCGCCACCGCGCTCCCAAGCGGCGCACTGTAGCAGTGCGCCACCGGGCCGGCCCTAACTATACATATCTTTAACTTGTTAGGATTTATTTAGAGTCAGCATTGTACCTCTTCACAGGCCACACTTCTCAGATGTAAAAAACTGCAACAGTTCCATTGACCTGCCCCCATCCCTTAGTTTACTGTCATATCTTTTACTTCTGTATATGTTATAAACTCCACTCTGTAGAGTTAGTACTTTTGCTTTAGTCAGTTGTACTTTAAGTAAATCGTGAGAAGAAAAGAGTTTTTTGTATTTACACACTTATTTACCATTTCAGCTCTTTATTCTTTTTTTTATTAACAAAACTCCATAAACTTCTTTATTCAGATTTCCTTAGTTTTTCCCTAATGTTCTTTTTCTATTTCAGTATCTCATTGAAGATATCACATTGCATTTAGTAGTCGTATATCCTCAGGGTTCTCTTGGTTGTGACAGTTTCACATACTTTTCTTGTTTTTGATAACCTTCACAGTTTTGAGCAGTCCTGGTCAGGATTTTGTAGAATATCCCTCAGTTGGGACTTTTCTGATGTTCTTCTCATGGTTAGACTATTCTGTTGTCTCCCACTCTTCTAGATGACTGTTTTATAACTTTTTCTCTCTTCATGCCTCCAGTACTTCTTCCCTATCTCCAAACTAAGTTGCCTACACTTTTCTTCTTCACCGAGAAAACCTTGCAGTGTCTCCCTTTTGCAGTAACAGAGGCTGGACACAGGCCCTCCAAATTCACATTCTAGTCAAACTGTTTATCTTCATCGATCGTATTTATTACTGGGCGTGGCCAGCCTCAGCTCTCTTTACTCATTCCTGTAGGTCCAGGTTTGCAGGCTGATGAATACCCTTCATCATTTCTTGTAGTGCACATCTGCTGATAATGAATTCTTGCAGCTTTCATTTATCTAATCATGTCTTTATTTCATCCTTGTTTTTGAAGAATATTTTTGCTGGATATAAAAAATGTTT